TCTCCACTGTCTCTGTCTCTCCGTCTCATTTTTCCTCTCTGTTCTCCTCCCTACTCCTTACCTGGCAACGCTGCCCTAAGTTGGAAATAATAACATGTTTTTAAAGCTGAAGAAAGAGACAGAGAGAGAGAGGTGAGGCTGAGACTGAGCTGAGCCGGTTTGCTGGGAGCAGCACGAGGGTCTCAGGGCAGGTGTTGGGAAGACTTTTCCTGAATGAGTGACTTGACCTTCTGAGCTCACCCAATCACGGGTCTGGGGTGCTGTGGTTTTGGTGGAGGATGTTCCCCCCCGGAAGCCCCAGGGTCTTCCCCGCTGCGGTCTCCGAGTCAATAACCGCCTCCGTTCTCAAGCACGTGTTGGCACATTAATATCGACTTCTTCGCGTCTTTCAGCTAAGTGGCATTTTGCAAACTAAATTGGTGCTTGGTAGCGTATTTTTAGAACTCCAGGGTCTATAGTCAACTATAGCCAAATATTTCTCTCCCAAGTATCCTTGGAAAGATGTTCATTTAATCTATGTCTGTCAATCTCAAAGAAAATTGCTATTTTTCTTGCGAATGTGGGCTACAGGCACTCATATTTTTCATAGTGATAATGTGATAGATGTTTGTAGAGACGTTTGCAAATGCACAATTGTTTATAGATAGGAAATTAGAGTAATGTCAGTTTTTGTTACAATATACACATTTGATAGATATAATTACAGAACCCAGCTAATTGGAAGCGATTTGCTTACAGCCTATTGTTATTGCTTAGTCTATTTCATGGTTAGCTAAGGGTTTTAATTATTAGTAATTAAAATTTTTATGCTTTAAAGACCAAATTATTCATAAAACATAGGGACTATTTCCTGCCACCACCCTATCTCAAGCTAGACACCGTTTAAATGTTAGTTTAAGTGGTTTCTTCCCAAAACAGACAAACATAGTGTCTTGCAGAGATTATAGGTGATTATTCAATGTTCACTGGTAATGATTATTTGAACCGACAGCCCTGCATGTGGAATATACTCTTCCTACGAGAAGAGGCCAGCGGCTGTGGCATGACCTCCAGCACCCACAGGTCCTGGGTTCAAGGATCTGCTCTGGGCTTAGCAGCTTTGGGGAAGCCACAGACTCTCACTCCACCTCTGCATGCTACGCTGAAAATGGACATATTCCTAGATCGCTGTCAGTTTTCTGGGGCTGCAGTCACAGAGAACCACAGGCCTGGCTGCTGAAACAGTGGAAGTTTCTGAGCCCAAGCTCTGAAGGCAGGGTCCACATCGACGTTCCTGCGGGTCGGCTCCCCCGCCTACCTCCCAGTTCTGTGGCTGCCCGCCGTCTTCCCAGGCCCCAGCTTAGAGAAACCACACCCTGATCTCCACCTGCCCATCACAGTGGCCTTCTCCTGCTGGGCAGGACTCTCTCCAAATTCTTCTTTCTAGAGGAACACCGGCTATACTGATTAGGGGCCGCTCTACTCCAGGATCACCTCATGTTAGCTAATTCCATCCGCAAAGACTTCATTTCTAAACAAGGCTACATTCTGAGGCCCGAAAGGTCAGGGTATAAACACACACTTTGAGGACAGCACAGTGTAAGCCATGGCAAGTGCCTGAGTCAGATGACTGACCAGAAAATCCGAGGAGACAGGGGCTGAAAAGGACTTAGCGTTGTGTCTGATACTTGCCCTCAGCAAATGCTATCACCGCCCCACTGGGGGAATTCCTCGCAGCGGACTGAATGACGGCGTACGTGAGTTCTGCTGGAAGCTCTGCAGCTGCTCAGGCACACATCACTGAAGTGCCGCATCTCGCAGCGCTCGTGAGCTCATGTGTCAAGTGCAGGCATCTGGAGTCCTCAGAGGCCTTGCGGAATCACAGAAACAGGGAACTGGCTTTACACTGTATCTCAGCAGCGGAGAAAGAGGACGTGGAGCAGGTCGCAAGCACAGAGGCCTCCCTTATGAGCGCTCACAAAATACAACAGAAAAGAGCCTGTGACTGTGGATTCTTGACAAGGCCCTTTGGAAACAGTCGTGACCCTGGGTAACTTTCGTTGATAAACTTTTGAGTTGTAAAAACCAGTTCCTGTAAGAGGTATAGAAACTGTAAGAAAAAGATTTCTTGTTCAAGGGGCAGATGTTCTTCAGCATGTCAAGAAGTTGCTAGAAAAATGAAGGTTGCTAGAATGTTGAATTTATTGGGAAGATGAGAGGCACCCTAGAAGATGCCTTAGGGTGGGGAGGCCCTGCTAATCCATTAGATGCCAGGAGTCTCGGCCAGCAAGGAGCTCTGCAGGCCAGGGTGTGTCCAAGGAGACCTCAGGAGTCACCCCGGCGGAGCGGGGGCAGGGCTGGCTGCAGCGGGAGCAAGGATGTGCCCTGCTGGGCTGTGCCTGGCGGCCAGGGAGAACGGAGGCCGTGGTGTGGCCTTTATTTGCAGGTGTCCTGGGTATGGCCCTGGGGGCCCAGCCTGGGGCTGCAATGACTTCTTATACTGTTTGCTGTTATTTTAAGTACTTTCTCTATACAACGAACAACTGTGCATTAAAAATGAAGTGATGCTAAGAGTTTGATTCTCAAGAGCAGCAAGGTGAGCGGCAGCAGCAAGGAGCAGAGGCGGATGCTCGGGGTTGGGGACACAGACCTGCTGCCCCACCCGAGGAAGCCTCCAGGGGCTCCTTCTGCAGAGAGCACCCTCAGAGACAGGACCTCTCGGGTTCCGGTCTTAATCTTTCAACAACAGCACCATTTTTTTTTTTTTTTTTTTTATGGTGTCTCGTACTGTTGCCCAGGGTGGAGTGCAGTGGTGCGATCTCTGCTCACCGCAACCTCTGCCTCCTGCGTTCAAGCAATTCTCATGCCTCAGCCTCCCGAGTAGCTGGGATTACAGGCACGTGCCACCACACCCAGCTAACTTTTTTGTATTTTCAGTAGAGACGGGGTTTCACTATGTTGGCGAGGCTGGTCTTGAACTCCTGACCTTGTGATCTACCCACCTCAGCCTCACAAAGTGCTGGGATTACAGCCATAAACCACTGCACCCCACCAGCAGCACCATTTTTAATGTGAAAATTCAACTTTCCATATCTGCCCTCAAGGGAGGGGATAAAACTGAAGAATAAAAGTTTTTATCCATGGAGGACCTTTTTTTCTCTGAGAAACCTTTGTAAGAATCTTTACTCCTAACAAGAGACTATTTCAGTGCAATCATTTAATGTTGGAAGTGTGTGTCCTATTGCTGAATCTTCATCCACAGATACCTGGCACCACCTAAGGTGTACGACTGATCACTCCACTTTCATTATTTAAAGCATAATGGAAGATCCAGGGAATCTAATCAGTTTTACAAAACAGCTCCGAGATCAATGTCTTTGAGATACCATTAGCCTGTGTTAGCTTCATTACAGCCATGACCAGAGGAAAGGAAATTGCTTTGCATCCAAGTAACAGAAATTGAAGGACTTACCACCTGCAAATCACTGTCCAGGTGAGACCTGCCAAGCCTCCGATCAGCAGAACAGCCAGCGAGATGGAGACCCAAGACGCCCATGGGAGGCTCCTGGAGTCTGGGGCACAGAAAGATGCCCGGTTAGAAGAAGCTTCCAGGGCCCGGGCAAGCCCGGATGTCCTGCCTGAGCCAGGGCCATACCCTGTCCTGGGCCAGCTGCCTTCACCCCACAGCAGGGAGGGTCATTTATCAGCCCAGAAAAGCCATGTGGACCCAAATGTGACGTGTGTTGGGAGAGCCAGCAGAGGACAAGGGCAGAGAGGTTGGTCCCACTCTCCGGCAGCCTCACTGCTGGGCTTGGCGTGGATGCCGTCCTGCAGGACAGAAAGCATCCCTTGCTGCCTGAAACAGAGAGGGCTCTCAGTGCCCTCTGAGTGGGCCACAAAACCCAGGCAGCCCTGGGGGACCCCGGATGGGGTGGGAAAGTGGCACAAGGTGGGCTGTGAGGGGCGAGGGGTAGCGCTGTGAGGTCTCTCCTGTGGTTGGGGCAGCTCTGTGAGGTCTGCCCTGCAATTGGGGTAGCGCTGTGAGGTCTCCCCTGTGGTTGGGGCAGCTCTGTAAGGTCTCCCCTGTGGTTGGGGCAGCTCTGTGAGGTCTGCCCTGCGATTGGGGCAGCGCT